GTAAAATGGGACAATCATAGCGGGACGGAGGTAGTATTTGGCAAAAAAATGCTCCAACAATGGCACCAAACTTGACACCATCACACCAAAATGGGGGAGGGGGGAAGCTTTCACGCTATATATGGCGTACGCCATTTGTAGCACCATCCTGTTTTTGTATTTTTTTTTCTTTCAAATGTGACCCAAAGTTTTGATTATTATAGTTTTGACCCATTTTTAAAACAACAAATTAGGAAGTTTTACTTGGACTGAAATTTGTTGGTCCGGTCTAATTTGGTCTGGTCTGGTCTGAATTGATATGGCCTAGTCTGATTTCTTTGTATTTTTATAACTACCCAAATTTGGCATAATCCGGTCTGATCTGATCTGAAAGAAATTACAGTCCAAGTAAAAACATCCTTATACAACAACAATCAAAACAATTAATTTGATAATAAAAATATTATAACATTTAAATCACACAATATTATAAATAAAGTTTGAAATCCAAACAACATAATAATAGAAAACAAATGGTACTTAAGAAAATAACATAATTAAAATTACAATTAATAACACCATTATTCTTTGTATTTTAGTTTGTATGTGTGAAATAATGTGTGAAATGTCAAAATATTAAATGAGGGGGCTAATGTATAAATATAAGATAGTTAGATATTTAAATAGAATAATGGTAAAAAGTTAGTAAAAGAATAAAATGAGAATATTCCTTTTTGGTGATGAAAATGTTGTTAACTGTTGGAGATGGCCTTATACTACAAGATATACACGTATAAAAATTTATAAAATTATAATTGTACTCACGTAGTATAAAATTATACGTGTGCAACTAAAAGAAACATAGCATAATATATTTTGTTTTGCAACTAAAAGAAACATAGCATAATATATTTTGTTTTGCAACTAAAAGAAACATAGCATAATACGGAGTATATTTTATATTTTTATTTATATTGATTATGCCATGAAACCAATGGACGATGGGGTATTTCAGTATTGTGCTTAATGCTTGTCTATGATAAAATTAATTATCACTTTAGAAATTGTACCTTTCTGGCTTTAAGAATACCATATAGTCTAATACCCTCTTCGTCCCACAATGAACTTCACACTTTGACCTACACACATATTAAGGAAATGAATTTATTGTTTTGACAATGTTTGGCACTGTTTTGCACTGTTTCGACACTGTTTGACATTGTTTGACACTGTTTTGGTGTAGATTAACTTGTCATTTAAAGAAATGGGAACTTGTTTCTAGGACATCAAAAAAAGGAAAGTGAGAAGTTCATTGCGAGACGGAGGGAGTAACTGGTCTATCATGTGCCGCATATGTGGAAACCAAAAATGACAGATCATATGTAACTATTTCATATTTTCATTTGTGTGCATAGTTTGAATGCTGAAACCTAGCTTCAAAGTTGAAACCATGTAAAAACCGACAATTTCTTTTTTAGATTATACATTTATTTCCTTTCAAAAAGATTAAACATTTAATTAAGCTCTCAAATTTTGTGATTCTGGATCCTTGAACGCTCAACTCACAAATAAAGTAATTGGGTCCTTTTCACCTATCGGTGTCGGTAAAACAGTAAATTCCTATTACTATCTAAAAAAAGATGAAGCTCCATCCTTGAGGGCTCCCCAACCCCGATCGGACGATACGTTGGGAGGATGTAAATTGGACTATAATCTCAATCTGACAGATAGAAAGTGGAGCTCCGTCCCCGGTACTTGCAGAGGCTCTATGCATTTTTAGCATAGTAACCTCCCATCGCAGTTGTCGGGATTCGAACCCGAAGCCTAACCCTTGTGGCATTCCCTTGCTACCAGTTGAGCTACGCCCACCGGTATTTCCGATTACTCCCTCCGTTCCTAAATAAACTTCCAACTTTCCTTTTTCGTCTGTTCTAATTAAAACTTCCACTTTCCCTTTTTGATAAAGAATTTGTGGTTCACAACATTTCTTATACATTTCTCTTTCCTCTACACAACTCTCCACCACACAATATCCACTATCTTAAACTGTGTACCAAACAAATTTGGAAGTTAAAATGAGAACGGAGGTAGTACTATCTAATGAGATGTTTTAGGCTCCGGCCGGTAAAAAATGTCCACTTGCCTTTTCTCAACGAGTTAAGTGGGGAATAGTGGCGTATTCGTAAGGTCTTATGGTTCAAGAATAGAGTGTCATAATAGTTCAAGATTTATTTGACGTTTTTTCTAACGGGTATTATCGCAGGACTAAGATTAGTCCAAAATTCAACAATAGGAGTACAATCTTTTTATTCCCAAAATATGATTAATATATGTCTCTTCTTCTCATTCTACCCCTTTCCTATAATTTCCAATAGATTTATTTTATTAATAAGAAAATCATAGTTTCATTTATAATAAAAATATAAAAAAATATTTATAAATTAATAATAAAAACGTGAAAAAAATAAAAAAATTTAAAATAAATAAATAAAATATTTAAAAAACTTTAAAAAGCCTAATGAATAAAATAAAATACCTAAAAAATATTTAAAAATATGCAGGTCACTGCCAACGCCTCCTCTACCTCCCAGCACCACCAGCTCCGGTCGTCGGAAAAAATGTCATCTTGTGTAAAAAATGTCACGTTTCTCTGAAAATGCCATGAAAATGACATTTTTACTCTTTGAAAATATCCAGTTTTCTCTTCAAAATTGCCATCATGATGACATTGCCCCCCCCCCCCCCCCCAACTTGGCAATCTTTTCCGTGGACCGGAGGTGACGGTGCTGGAAGGTGGTTGAGGTGGTGGTTGAGGTCTGTATATTTTTTATTTATTTTTTACGATTTTTTATATTTTATAATGGTTGTTTAAAAAATACTATTAGGAAGGACAAAGGAAAGGATAGAATAGGAAGAGTTGGTGGTCCTATTATGAGAATTTAAACTTTAAACTTCTATTGTTGCGATTATCTTTTTATTTAGTCCAGTAAATCTCCCTTTTTATAATAATAAAAGTAGTGGCTACTTTTTTCCAAGAATCAAATAAAACAAACCAAAACGGAATTGTAAATAAAAGTTTGGGGTCTAGACTCTAGATCCGTTGTCTTGCTTTAAAGCCAAACATGGTTCTTATGCAGAAGAATAGTCTGATGAATGTGGAATCCACAGATCTCAGAAATCAACACAAAAGATATATAGCCCTTGCTAAATAAATCTATCTGATTTTAAAATGGAGCCATACATGGAACTAAAATTACTTTTCTATATATATGCCGTGCTCAGTATAAAGAGCATACTCTTTGTATTTAATTATATCATTGTCTCATTGCTTACATAATTATTAGTGCACTTGAAACAGTTGAGAGTGTTCAATTATTGTATAGTAAATGATTCCTTTCGCTATTTTAATTAGGAATAATAGCCTTTAAAGTTAATCTTACACGCCTTATAATACCAATTGATACCGGCGTGAGTAAGGCAATTAATACCAATCGGATAGAATCATATTATGAGCTCCCAAATTTGGAAGCCGTTGGTAAGATAAGAAGTAAGTACTTGATTACTCAATGAAATTAAAGTTACAACACGCTCAAACATTTCACATTATGTCATGTAAAACGTTTTACTTGGAGTATATAAAATAGTACGATCACTTTTGCATATTTTTAATACTCGAGATTAATTTAAAATTAGTAATAGTACTATGCATACCAACAAGGTCCATCTTCTTTTAAGGGAGTTCATGAGTTAAGAACTCTAAGTTAAGTGTGCTTGTACGGGAGCAGTCTTGAGATGAATGATCTCTTGGAAAGTTTTTTAGAACACACATGAGTGAGACAAAGTATATGGTAAAGGCTTGTGTTGATTGTAAGGGCAGTACTAAATGTGTGGAAAGTATCTAGAAGTAACTATGAGAAGCCCTGCGGTATCGGGTGTTACACATATAATTTAAAATATATTTCAAACTTAAGCAAACAATGTATTTAGAAACACTCACAGAGCTGGAGGGTCATCCGTACCAGGCCCAAACTCATCCTAAATTTTAAAAAACTTTAACTATTAGTGTAAAAAATCGAGTAATTCTTTTTGTACCGATCCAGTCCATTCTGGTACCATAGCTACGCCCATGTTTACATGTTACATGTGAAATGATTATTTTCGTGTATTTTGAGTGCAATGTAAAATTTACATACATACATACATACTCCGTATATAGTTTAGTGTGTCAACGAACAAGGAGTTGTAGAATATCATGATGGACTAACTCAACGGGATTTGAGAAATAATTAATATTAAATCCAGCCGTAATGTTTGAGGTACTCCGTATTAAAGCTTAGATTTATATTTCTCCCTTTCTAAGTTGTTGAACATCTTTAAGCTTTCAAATTTGAAAGATGAAATCACAGCCGTATTCTAAATGTAATGTAACATACGGTGAGTGGTTATAATAGCAAAATATATATTCTCAAATAATTTGACTTTTTACAATTACAAGAAATCAGTACTAAACAATTATTGTTGATCTTTTAAAAGTGAAAATATTACTCTTTTTTTAGATTGCATTTCTCGTTTCATTAATGGTCTACAGACGTTGTACAGGTTCAATGCATTAATGAAACTTGTCAAACTAATATACTAATATAATCATGTTCTACTATTTTTGTCTCGATTAAGGGAAATCGTTGTTGCTTTCTTCATTAATACTTTGCATGTGTAGAGTTAAAAAAGACAGACCCAGATTGAGCACGAAACAAACAATCACGTACTGCTGCTAACACGGAGATAATTTTAATTATGACAATTATATTATTGTATAGTCCCTCATTTCCCAAATGCGTGTTATTTGAAGGTTAGCCTCCACATATTTAGGATGTTCTAATTTGGATTGAATTTTTTTGGTCTAATCTGGTAGATGTTTGATCTCTATGACTTTTATAATTGTCGAAGTATGGACTAGTCTAGTCTGATCTAGTCTGAAATCTAAACTAGTTTGATCTGGTATGGGAATTAAAGAAGTACAAGAAAAAACATCCTAAAAGAAACGCAAAAAAAATACAAATAGCTATTGTTCTTATAATTCTTATTGCTTGTTTTTAGAAATAAAGACATCACTGGAAAATATATTAATGCTACACAAAGAAAAATATTCATGGAGGGAGTAATATGTTGCATATATTACTCATTTACATCTATTTGAAGTGATCTCCTTTAACATTCTGGTTTTGGCCTCCTCTAATACCTAACTCCTTTTGCAACCTCAAAAAATTGGGCAACATTTTCCTCGGGTGTACCTACCTTAATCCCATGTCCGAGGTTCAGAATATGTTTCCCCCTACCCGCCTTTAATTTCAACAGTGTCATGTATGCGGTTGGTGATAAATTCCTTGGAACCAAACAAGACCCCGGGATCAACATTTCCCTGAACTGCCACATCAGGACCCAACCGTCTCCTACCATCGGCCATATCAACTGTCCAATCCAAGCTGACCACGTCTACTCCCGTCAAGGACAGCCTCTCTAATAAACCCCCGGACCCACTCGCGTATAGGATCAGTGGTAGGTCAGGATGAGTTTCCTTAACCGAGTCCACAATCTGCTTCAGGTAAGGAAGACTAAACTCTTCAAAGTCCACTGGGCTGAGCTCAGTTGCCCACGAGTCTGAACTGCTTGAGCTCCATTATCCGCTTGGTAGCGTATGCATTTGACCATAGAGGTTGCAAATTTTTGAAGAAGCGCGTGAAGGACCTGCAAGCAAACAATGACCAGCATCAAAAGGCAGCCTTGACCCCGATTTAAAGTTTGTTTGGATGGGGCCAGAGGGAGAGAGATTTGCAGGAATTGCAGGGCTTGGCTGTTTTTTTATATATAATAACTCCTATGTTTCCGGAAATGAAAAAAAGGTGATCAACCATTTGAAGTGTTTTTCTCAAAAAAAAATGAAAAGTTATTTGATTGCATATTGTGTCAACTTAATTTATTAAATCTTAAAATGCAAGTCCCGTGTACTTCTTTAGTTGTTTCAATTTCTTTGTATAATGGTTTCTTATTAAAGAAATTGCCTTGAATGACAGTACTATGTTCTTCCCCTAACTAGAATTAATTAAAAAATATTGTCATATTAATGTATGATGATGCCATAATATGGCAATATGATTTTAATATAGCACTACTTTACTCCTATACTCCTAATTACAGAGAAACACAGTGTACTCCTACTTAGGAAAATCACCTTGTCTTTTCTCCTATTTAGGGAAATTTCCCTTCTTATTGCTTGTTCCACTTTCTGTTGTTGGCAAATCTTTTCTTTCCGACGTTTCTTATTTATTCATCCTCTGCTACATTTTATACATTTTTCACTAAGCATTAATATAAGTTATTTACACTTAATTTCCATAAATAACTTGCTAAGTAAAAGTAAACCGAAAGGGTACCAATATAAAGACTAGACCTAAAATGTCTAACATACAATCCAAGATTTCAAGCAGACCGCTAGGCTCCAGATCTCCTAGTTCCTTTTACAGCATTTACGGAAGGTTCAGAGTTCAGACCTAATATTCCTGTTATCCCAAACAAAGTCTTGTTTGGATAAGGCACGACTTTTTGAATCCGCCAATGCACGACTGTCAAAAGTCACGCAACTTGTATTTTTAGAATTTACCTCTTAGTCTAACTAAATATTTCAATATTTGACTTATTAGTATCCCTTTTTGAAAATTGCATGCAAATTTAGCTTTCTTTGATGAAATATAACTTTTTGTTGGACATAAAGAGATTTGAAACATGACTTTTGGGTAGGAGGGAGTATATCGGGGGGACATAGTCAATTCAAATAAACTTTAAAGTAAAAAAAGTAAACATGAGAAGTTTTTTATACAACTTGGGTTGGCTATGTAAGAAGAACTTTTGAACTACAAACAGTCATCATAGGTCGAAAAAATAAAATATATTTTGTAACATTAATAGTATTATTCAGAGTGGAAGCACTAAAACAAACTGCCTTCAATTAGAAATTACCTTGGGCTGTGAGAAAGCTAGTCTCTTTATTTTTGTGAAGTTTTTAGATGAACCACCTTCAACAACATAAGATGCCAGAGTAAAAGGTGCCCCAACGAATCCTAAAATCGCAGCTTCATTATGAACCTAAAAAATTAAACATGCAAATCAATCTTGTTGTTTAGTAACACTGTTGTGATTATTTATTATGACTGTAGTTTATTATTTTGATCGCATTGTGAACTTATCAATTTCAACTCAAATTACTAGAATATTCAGTACATTTCGTAATCTAGGATTCTTCACATGTGTATGGTAAAAATGAAGGAATTGATTTGAGTAGACTAAAAGCTTACACTGATAGTTGGAATATACATTTACATATATTATTATTATATATGTCAGCACAATTAGTTATCATGCACATGTTGAAATAATATAGGAGTACAAAACTTGAATGAAATGATGACCGGTTACAAATGCAATGCTATTTATCTCTACCTCTTTCCACAAGATATTTAATGCTTTGCCAACATATGGCACAAACTCTTCAGGATTGAATTCTCTGACTTTCTCGACATCTGTAGCAGTTGGCACATCATCAAATATGACTGGACCTTCCCCCTTTAACATGTCAAATGGTATGTTCATTCCAGAGAGAGGGGTAAGAATGTCTGAAAATAAAATAACCTGCCACAATATTCAAGAGAGATAGTTTAATCAAATCACAAGCTAAAAGATTGTGATTTTTCAATAGCATAGTGAAATCATGAACTTGCATCTTACCCCATGGATGAAACACTTTCCATGGATGTAGAGAATTTCCACCACGAGATCCACATTTTCTGATCTCTCACGAAACGATGGATACTTCTCAGAAAGGATTTGGTAACTCTATTTTGGAAGTGAAGAGAATTAGGTACAATAAACACATTAATCTAAGAAAACAGATGCATAATACTAGATGTCAGAAACCATTAGAAGTATCAGATTGGGATAATAACGAGACATGAATTTATAAGATCTTAAGCCAAGGCTAGATAATCGGCTGGATCCAATTTATACTGTCGTTTGATACATTCTCAATAAGTAACCATAACAAGCCTTTCCATCCGAACATCAATTTGGACCGATGCAAAAATCTAAATAAGTAAATATATATAAGCAAGCACTCAAATTAATAGGCTACAAAGAGGATAAATGTATAAACCTACCTTCATATACCTCCCAGCTTATCTCATAAGCCAAACAGGAGGTCTTTCCACCTTTTTCCCACGAACCGCATTGATTAGAAGAGGTTCAGTAGCACTGATCACTATTGGTTCAGCAACAGTCTCTAGGAATAAGAAAAAAAATCTATTTCTCTTTGGGCTCATTGTGAATATGCAAGAAGATCAACAAGATTGCACCATTCAGAGAGAATCATATGTGAAATTCATAGAAAAAAGACATACCCATTACCGAGTAAAACACGCAATTTGAGACACTATTAAACCAATCACACAGATGTTTTTGGAAAGTAACCTTGTGAGAAGTCTTTTTTTACATAAACTAATGATACCCAAATACAAAAAAGATTCATAATGGACAAGTTGTGTTGGGCCATTCCTCATCCACATTTTAGATTTAAACCTAACCCCTTCTTTGGTTAGGGGAAGAAAGAGAGGTGAGAGTAATGGGTCCAAAAGAGGGAGAAAAGAAAATAGGTGTTAGAAAGTTTCTGAAGAAATGGATACAAACTGGGAACAGATGCATTTCTCTTCTACTACCTCTCTCCATGAGGGAGAAGAAGTAGAACTAGTTCAAAACTTTTCGCTCTCCAGTCTCCATCATTTTCCTCTTAACCAGACAGGGATAACCACACCAATACCTAGATCCTTAATTCCAAAATACCAGAACATATTTGGCATATCTTTATTGGAAACGAACAATTGAGTGTCCACATTCTGTTCTTACATATCATTTGTTCATCTTTTCTACATTTTCTGGTCTGGAAATTTGTCCAAATTGATAGTCAGGCAGGATGCTAAACATGAAATTTTGCCAATGTGATGGCCACATTCGCAGTAAGTTAATCCAAAGAGCCCACCTCTAATGAGGAATTTCATCAAACATCACAATTGCCAATATGACATTTTACGGGTAATTCAACAGTTTAACTTCTTTTATATTGGCCTTCTTTTAATCTCTCTCACTACGAGAGGCCGGCTCTTATTAGGGTGATTACTAAATGTGCGACATTTTGTGTCAATGTGGATTATGAGCTGAGAGGATTGTGAAATTGCAGGAAAATATTACCTCCTAGAGAGCAATAGATTCTTGATTTATGCTTGTCCTGCGATGAAGAAGAGGAAGAACTTAGAGTGGGTTTGGAGTACACTAAGAAAGATGGAAGTGATGTGTAAATGTAAGACATATTTTGGTGGCATGAAATATCTGCGTAGAATCAGTAGCGCTGAAATAACTTCCGCCGGTGTAAAACGTCTAGATGTGGAGCTCAGGGTTAGAGTTTCACTCGAATCAAATAATTTTTCTCAATTCGCGATTCGAATTCGTATAAGACAATTCAAATTTGGAGAATTCAAATACAAATACAAATAAGAATTTTAAATTTGATTCATGTTGTTATCAATTACAAATATGATTATCACTATATCAGGGTATTCGATTCGAATATTAATCAAATATATTCGTTTAATAATAGTAGTAATATTAGTAACAATATTAATAATAATAGTAATAAATGCAATACCCTCAAAGTGTAGCCCATATACTTCCTCCGTTCTTAAATAAATGCAACGGTCAACATTTCACACTTGCCGAGACACAACTTTGACCATTAGTATAAATGATTTTGTATTAGTAAAAAAATTAAAAAAATTAGATTATGAAAATTTACAATGAGACAAGTTTAACAATATTTTTTCATAAAATAATATTATTACATTAATAAATAAAATGTAGTCAAAGTAGAACATGTGAATAGTGTAAAAGTCAAAGTGTTGTATTTATTTAAGAACGGAGGTAGTATATATTTATGCATACAAATTCCAAGTCCATTTGTAGTTAATCAGAATATAAATACGAATACAAATCAGATTTTTGTTTCAAATGTCTTCCAAATACAATACACACAATTATGTATTCAATTGGAAGAATAAAATTAGAGTCATTTGACTTTGATATATACAATTATCAACTTATTTCATACATTATAAGTATAATTTCTAATATGTGTCTTAGTGTTTATTTCAAAATGGATTTATATTTATTAATCATAAAATTGATTCTCTTTAATATATTGTGCACAATCTAAAAATGCATTGATCCATTAAGTTTAAATTCTAAAAACACATATTAAGTCATAGCATGCATTTACAACTTAAAAAATATAAGAAAAGATATTTTATTGTAATATTTGACTAATATTTAACTTATGCTCAAATCGATTCAATATGCGTATATGATTCGTTAACTATTCGTATTGTTAAACAAATACAAATACAAATTGAAATTAATATTTGTTTCATATTCGAATTCGTATTCGAAAATATTAAACAAATACAAATATAAAATCTCACTATTTAACTCGATTCAATTCGTTTACAACCCTACGTTCACCTGTCGGAGGTAGCGAAGAGTTATTGTAGAGTTGTGAGAAGAAGATATTGTGTGGGTCGGAAAACAGGGGAAGCATGATCCATGTTGTGTAAGGTTAATTGAGGATTTCTATATAAAATAGTTATCAAAAAATGAAAGTGTAGCAAACATTTAAATACGGAAGAGTACTACGTATTTATAACAAAATTGACTAAAATCACTCTAATCATAGTGTCATAATCATAAGTGTGAGAAATTAACATAATCTACTCCGAAGTATGATTTAGAATGTTTTTAATTACACTGGTTTCGTTTGTAAAATACATATAGAACAAACATCTTCTAAACCAGATCAGACTAGGCCAAAAATTATAGTCCAACTATTATTAAAATTAATACACTTAAGTTATCACATTTTTTGTAAACAAACTTTATTTTAGTAATATATATTTCATCAATTATCTACTTGTCAGAATGGTTAACGTTGTTGATGGCATTAAAATTTCATTTTTGGGAAATTTCAGATAAAATCAAATGTACAAGATTTGTTTTCGTATTTTAAACAGAAGAAGTTTATTGTCGTATTTATCATCATCAAGAATTAATATGACAATAATAGTGATATAATAGAAATATTTTTCAAATACGATAAAAATTACTTCTATTTGAAGGAAAACACATTACTCATAGAGAATGGTCAAGTTAGTGGGAGTGGTGAACCACAAAACGTGGTCATTCAAGAACAAAAGGATAATGTCACGTTCCCACATGTCAGACACATCAATAGTAGCTCGAACACCAACAAACAGCTTGAATATATAGTTAGTGACACAATCACTAATGATCATAATGAATGTGTAGTTAGTGAACAAGATACTAATGAGCATGTTGTGACCACTTCAAATGAACATGTTATCACTCAAGAAAATGATAATTTATCAGAAGGAATAACATTAAGACGGTCATCTAGGCAAAAACGTTCTGCTATTCCAGATGACTATTTACTATATTCTATTGAGAATGAGTGTGACTTGAGCATTGATGAGGATCCAGTCTCATTTGAGGAAGCCAGGGATAGTAGAAACTCAGATAAGTGGATTGACGTCATGAATAAAGAGCTTAAATCCATGTATGAAAATAAAGTCTCAGATTTAGTTATGTTGCTTGATGGATCCAAATTAAAAGAGTTGGATGTAAGTGGGTCTTTAAGATCAAGCGTGACTCTAATGGAAACATCAAAAGGTATAAGGCCAGACTTGTTGCTAAAGGATTTACTCAGAAACGTGGCATTGATTACAAGGAGACCTTCTCTCCAGTTTCAAAGAAGGGTTCCTTGAGGGTTGTTATGGCTTTGGTGGCTCATTTTGTTTGGGAGCTTTACCAAATGGACGTGAAAATCGCCTTTCTGAACGGAGATTTAGAGGAAGAAGTTTATATGGATCAACCAGCAGGATTTTTGACCACTGGTAAGGAAAATCTTGTGTGTAAGTTACAAAAGTCAATATATGGATTAAAACAAGCTTCCAGAGAATGGTGTCTTAAGTTTCATAATACCATTTGTTCTTATGATTTTATAGAGAACGTCGTTGACCGGTGCATCTATATGAAGGTCGGTGGGAGCAGGTTTGTAACTTTAGTCCTATATGTTGATGATATCTTGCTTGTGAAGAATGATATGGCCATGATGTATGATGTTAAGAAGTTCCATTCTAAGAATTTTGAGATGAAAGATATGAGTGAGGCATCCTATGTGACAGGAATTGAAATATTTCAAAACCGTTCACAGGCAATTTTGGGTATGTCTCAGAAAATCTACATCAATCAGGTCTTAAAAAGATTTAATATGGATAGTTGATATTCATGTGTGGTTCCAATTCAGAAGGGGGGAAAGTTCAGTTTATTACAATGTCCTAAAAAGGAATTGAAACGTAAGGAGACGTAAAGAATTCCTTATGCGTCTGTGGTTGGATGTTTGGGATACGTTCAGACATGTACTCATCCCAATATTAGTTTTGTTGTTGGAATGTTGGGACGACATCAAAGTAATCCCGGAATGGACCACTGGAAAGCCGCAAAGAAAGTTTTGAGGTATTTGCAAGGCAACAAAAACGACATGCTTACATTTAGGAGATCTAATCATCTTAAGGTGATTGGATATCCATATTTAGTTTTTGCTAGATGTGTCGATAGTAGAAAGTCAACATCTAGTTTTCTTTTGATAGTGATGGATAGTCTACCCGGAGGGTATATATCCGAGGGGTTATTGCTCAGAATAACTTAGAGAGAAGTCAGAGCAAAAGTAAGTAAGAGAGAGAGTGTATTCAGTCTGAATGTCGTGGTTACAAATGGGGAAATGGGGGGCTATTTATAGTAGCAATAAATGCCGGACAGGGACACGTGTCAAGCATCCATTGGCCGAGAGGTCACCTCATCCGGTTGGCGCTGGCAAACGCATGTGGCCGCATTTAATGCGGCTGTTGGATGGGACGTTGCACAGGGTACGGTGATCTGTACGCGCGTGAAGAGGAGATCTTGTCGAGTGAGATGGCTTCGGCTGTAGAGCAGTAGCCGAGGGCTTCTCAAACCGAGGGCACCCCGGTGCCGAGGGCTCCTGATGCCGAGGGCTACTGTTCTCGCCGTTTTCTCCCAGTTTCTTGGGTTGCTTGAGAAACCCGTCCTGTGAGAGTTTAGAGCCTTCGGCTAGGGGGTCGAAGGCACCCCTGGTGCGCTGTGGGCTGCTTGGTACTCCGGGCGCCATGATTTGGGCCTGTTGGGCCTTCTGGGTCTGTTGGGCCTTTACTGGAGTAGTGGGAGTCTGTGGGCCGGGGGTTCCCGGGCCATATACTCCATCAGGAGTCCATCACTCCTTTTGCCGAAAGGTACTTGAGGGAAAAGGAGTAATTTGTGCTTGCCCTTTGATGTTGTCCTGTCGAAACCTCTGAAGTTGGTGAGGAGTTGTTGCTTTCACGCCCCTGCCGAAGGCAGTCCCTCAGTTACCCACATGTCGGGACTTGTGGGCTCGCTTTGCCGTTTTGTTGGAATTTTTCACCCATTTTGTAATTGAATGATTTTCCCGAGGGGGGTTCTCCAGTCCCCCACTCCTTGAGGCACTTGTAAAGTGGTGAAAAGGAGTAGAGTAGTTGCATTGCTGTTGTGGGCCGAAGGCTGACGCTTTTCGTTTCATTTTGGGGGGATGCCTCGTTAAAAACCTCATTAGGAAAAACCCTGTGGGAAAAAATCCTAGTGAGGGAAAAAGAGTGCACCGAATTCCCCCAATGATGAATCGAAAATGTGAAACCTTGGTAAAAAATGGAGAATAACGGTAATGCCGAAGGCTCTTCTTCTTCTGAGTGCTCATGTGTTGATTGGCCGAAGGCTTGCTGTTGATGTCCTGGGGGCTCCGAAGGGGAGCCCCTCAATCTGGGGATCGAGGGCCTGATGGATGAGGGCAGCAGTGGAGTTGTTACCGGGGGGTCCACTGTTTGTTGATTAGTTGGTGATGAAGATACCCGAGGGCTCCCCATTACCTGTGTGCCATAGGCTATCCGTCAATGAGGCAACTCCCCGGGGGCTACCCGGTTTTTATAGTGCTGAGGGGGAATCCCCGAGGGGTGCCCTGATATGAAGCCTTGGGTTTCTGAAGGAGTGATCCTGAAGGCGTCTGTTATGTGCTGTGTGGGGCACAACCCGGGGGCGTCTCTGGATAAGTGTACCCGGAGGCTCTCCTTGATGAAGTGGAGTGAAGTAGAAAACCCGGGGGCTTCCAGAATATAGCCGTTGGAAATATAGCCGTTGGAATATGTAGCGTCAGATTTATAGCCGTTGGGGGGGTACACGTGGAGTGTAGCCGTTGGCTGCTCGTGGGCGGGCGTCACCGGTTGGGTGAAACGACGGTGCGTAATGATGGCTTTGG